ACTATGAGTGACAGTTCCCAGTTTTGTTTTTCACCTAAATTGCAACCTGCACCACGATTTCTCAAATAATAGCTACCAGCCAAATGTGAGCCGCCAGGGAACCAGATGTTTTTATAAATCTATTAAACTACAGAGAACTTGCCAGATATTTCAAAATCTCTCGAAGGCAAAGACTGGGTCTCGGTCACCTCAGCACCTTTGGTGCTGGACCTCCATCGGGGCTCCACAAATGTCAGAACCCCCCCACCCCACCCCTGATGAGGACAGTATGGACTCGAAGCAGCTCACCGAGCCACTGCCCTCACCTCAGTGTTCTCTGGCTCTTCAGTAAGTTCTGCAAGCCCAGAAGCCCTTCTTTCCTCTCTGACCAGTTTGAGCTGGCGCAGTGGTTGAGAACTTCTGCCACATCCTCGGTCTGCCGCAGGTAATGGGGAATGCCGCCGTTCCTGGAACCATACGAGCGCTCAGAGCAAACACTCGAGGCATCACTGTTGGCATCATCGTCAGAATACATCCCATAGGGCTCATATCTCCTCCTCACAGGCTTCTTCTGCCAGGTCCGAAGAGGGACGGGTGATGGAGAAAGAAGTGGAAAGATGAAATGACCGTGAGTCTTCCCAAACAAATCCACCACCAACAAAGAGTTGCATGTCAAAAGATGCACACGCAGATGCGGGGGCACCACGCCTGCCTGTGTTTACAGATTAGGGAGTGAAACAGGAAGGCAGATTTCTGGAAGACATAGCGAGTAATAAGCAGAGCACCTGTAGCAGAGAAAAAGAGCATGGTCTCTAGCACACTGTATGGGCTTCTTGGGTGATAATCCTGCTGCCACCACTGGCCGGCTGTGGGACTGCAGAAAGCCTCCGGCCCTTTCTGCTTTAGTTTCCCCATCTTTGAGATAATAATTACCCCCCTTACAGGCTTCTTCTAAAGATTAAATGTTGCCTGGCTGGTTTGGCTCAGGAATTGAGCATCGACCCATGAACCAGGAGGTTCGATTCCCGGTCAGGGCACATACCCAGGTTGCAGGCTAGATCCCCAGTGCAGGAGGCAGCCAATTAATGATTCTCACTCATCATTGATATTTCTATCTCTCTTTCTCCCTCTCCCTTCCTCTCTGTGAAATAAAAACATTAAAAAATAATAAATAAATAAATAGAATTGTATGTTAAATAACCTGCCTTAGCCACCGGACACAGTGCAAGCTGTGCACCCACAGCCTCCTCCCAACCAAAAGTACTATCTCTTGAGCATGGTCTATGAGTAAATTTGTGTGAATACTCAAACTTCCTTAAAGTCTCAAACAGAAATGACAGTGGCAGAGTCATCTATGTACAAGGATTTCTAAATTATCTGAGCCACTTTTATCAAGGACAAAGTTTTACAGCACAAACAGGCTTCCTGTAGATTAGCATTTCCCTTACCCTGAACACAAGCTAAACCCATAAATAATACAGCAACAGCTGAATAAAATTGATAAAATACAATTTAAGAGAAAAACACAGTTATCTGCTTAAACTGTACAGATGTAATTTCCTAATGAGGTGGTTTTTAGTCCATCCCAAATTGCTCAGGACAGTGCTGCTCTATGCCTCATTAGTAAGCCCCTTTCACTCTCAAAAGTATGGCCACCTTACTTATCCAGACACTAGATCCCTCAAATAAGAAAAATATTGAATATATCTAATCATGAAATAATGACATAAGAGTAGTTATAACTGGGGTTTATAAATAAAATTAAACGCTATTGGGAGAAGGCACAGCTTTCCATTAAAAATAAATACTAGAACAAATAGAGTTGCCTGACTCCACCACTAATAAAAGTGTCACCAGATTCAACAATATCATAATTCAGACCAGGGTTTCTATATTGCACTATTGTTTTTGTTGCTTTCACTAGCTCCTAAAGGAAATATACTTGCAACAGAAAAAATGGAGTTGTAAAACAAATGTTAAAGCACTGGTACCTTGCTCCTGGAGTCTCCTAACAGCTGTAGGCAGGAAAATATTGAAGGATGGGGAAAAAGCATAGAGAATTATGTCAGAAGCATATGTGGGGATCATTCTTGCAACAAAAGTGTACAGCAAAACATATCTTAGCAAACCAAAAATACAGAGTAGCGAGCAATTCATATCACATGAGATCAAGTGAGTAATAATAAAGAATGCTTTCACAATGGCATTTCCTAAACCCTCTGGCCTTCCTACAAGACCTTCCTATGCTTGCTGTAATTCTCTGCTAACGCTCTCCCACACCGAGGGACATCTCCCGTCACCATGAATTCTGTGGTCTGTCGCTGTGGTACATTCTGTCTGCTCCGGGCTTCTATCCTGTGAGGCAAGAATTGTGGACCATTTTGCGCTTTCTCTTCCGAAGCAGGACCACCGGAGAAACCAAGCAGTGCAAACAAAACTAATGAGGGCAACGGGAGTGTCAATGGAGCTAGAGCTCAGAGAAAAGCCCAAGTCAGAGAGCCGAGATTCGCTCTCCAGGCCTGCTCTGACTCCTAGAACTTTGTGCAGTCCCTCCGTAGTTCGTCAGAGAACTAAGAACCCCCCGCCTTAGAAGTCCCATTTAACTAAGGATTTGGCACATCTCTCTTTTCCCAACCTCTGACCTCCACTGCCTAGGGTGTCTGAATAAAAAAGAAACAGAATCTAAACATTGCAACTTGGAAGGAAAAACAGCGTCACAGAATTCTGTTCCAGCTCCTGACTCTTAAGTTAAAACCCCGGACAGAGCAATCTCCCTCAATTCCTGCATGTGCCAGAAAAGGCCCACCTGCAGGGCAGCTCATGGCTCCTGGCCAGGCAGCCCTGCAGAAAGCAAAGCATTATGAGAGCAGCAAGCTGCCTGCTCACAGCCGCTTGCCAAAAAATCTGAGCAAGAACGAACGAGAGAGAGAGAGAGAGAGAGAGAGAGAGAGAGAGAGAGAGAAAGGAGAAAGTCAGAATCACTTGTAGCCACAAACCATACATTTTGATCACACAAAACATGGCTGAATTAAAACTTCAGGGTCTGAAAGGTGGATGCTTCCTTAGAGGAGAATAAATCTTCCAACAGCAAAGGTACAACCAGAGGTCAGACAGTTCTGAAGAGAGCCTAGTTTAATGCTGAGCGCACCGACCAAAATACCCCCGCGGCTGTGCCCCTACTCGCTGAAATGGATCTTTAGAAAGCACCTTGACCACTAGCAGACTCTATTAACACTAGATTGCCAAGGAAGTCATTTTGACTGCTTTTTAATTTCAATTAGAAAAACAATGATGTATATAATGACAGAATTTCTTAGAATTTTGTGACTTTTTATACAACATATAAATGCGTTTATTAATAATTGTAGTTACCTCCCCCTCCTTCATTTCCGGTATATATATGTGTGTTATACCTATATTGCCTGAAAGCAGTCATTTTGACAGCTTGGGGAAATTTTTTAAAAAGTGCACAGAAGAAGAAGGCCGCTGAATTTTGAGGAACGATTGGACAACAACATTACCGGAAATACGTGCATTTATTGGGATTTTATATGCTCGTGGAGCCTACGAGGCAAAAAATTTAAAACTCAGTTATTTATGGTCAGCAAAGTAGGGTCCCGAATTTTTTAGAAAAACTATGGCCAGAGAAAAGTTCAAGCAAATCCTACGATTTATTCGTTTTGACAAAAGAACCGAAAGAAGTAGGCACCTACAAACAAATAAGTTTGCCTTGGTTTCAAATTTGTTGTGGTTTTTTTGTTTGTTTGTTTGTTTGTTTTTGTTTTGTTTTGTTTTTTGCTTAGATATTACAGGCAACTAGATCAATAAAATACCATATAAAAACCTATAACAAAAGCACCAGAATCACTATTTGGCTCCCAAAGGCAATCACTTTCAGTTTTGTTGATTACTTATTTCCTGCACTTATTTCATATCTCTAAAAGTGTACATATACAGCTATTTCTTTTTAAACTAGTACTTGTTATTCGAATCTTTATGCAGTGATACTTGTTCTAATAAGTTTTTTATTTTATTTCTTTTTTGCCCTAAATTCATGAAAGAAATGTCGGATAACTTGTTATATAACTGTAAATAATATAAAAATTAAAAATTAATTTTAAACAAATTTCTTTACACATTAGTTATTCTTTCACAATGCAGTCAATTTGACGGCTTTTGGGCAATATAGGTATATACTAAATTTCAGTCTTTCTAATGTTAAGGACCTTTTTGCTATAACCATAAATGTAAGGGCCTCTGAGCACTTCCTATTGTTTTTTAGATATTACATTATAAGGATGCAAAAACATACTCCACCCATGCTTGACAGCCTCCAAGGGCTCATCTTAAACTTGGGGAAGTTTCCATATATAATGACTTACAAACTCATTTCTAAAAACAAACAAAAAAGCAAAGTGATATGGAACAACTAGTGAGGCAATGGAATAAATGCAGATTTTCAAACCACAAACTCTATGACCTAGTATAATAACTTTTTTAAGGTTATGCCATCAAAGCTTATAAAGCAATAGAAGCAATAGAATGGGGGAAAAGATGCTGAAAAAAAGAAAAAAGACACCCAATGACATCAGAGAAGCCCGATGTCATCATAACTTCCTCAATACTGAGGAGCACAGAAGAAATACTTGATGCTAATAATTTCTGTAAGGCTACCTTTCACTTAAACCAGTAATATAAATTCACCCAACTTAAAGAGTGTCAAGGTAACCTGATTTGGAGGCACTTTTCCATTACGACAGAATAATTCGGATGAGTAAGTCAAAGAGACGGACAGGCACTGTGACTTACCAAAGCGTCAGCAACAGCAGCTTCAAGATCTGTACTTGTGCTTAACACGCGCATGGCATTCACAGAACCAGGTATTCTTCCTGCCTGGCCAAGCCCAAACCGGTCTATTTAAAAAACAAAAGCAAAAGATATGTCACTTTAATTCACATTTTCTCCATTTCTTTGCAAGGATCCCTCCCTCTTCCCACCTACAGAACAGAGGCTGTGGAAACTGCCCAGCCCATTTAAATACATTGGACTTGGAGTTTTAGCTACACTTGTTTCCCAGTGACAGAGGGTAGAATGTTCGCAGTTAGTACCATCGTGCCACAAAGCATCCTGACAATTGAAATGGTTCTTTAATGATATTTTATTTTTGAAAAGTGCTGAGATATAGGAGAGAGCAACTTACTATAGAAGGGAGCAAAGCTATGGGTTGAGCCTTTCAATCTGTTTAGCATTCCCTCTAGAGCAGCGGTTCTCAACCTGTGGGTCGCGACCCCTTTAGGGGTTGAACAACCCTTTCACAGGGGTCGCCTAAGACCCTCGGAAAACACATATAATTACATATTGTTTTTGTGATTAATCACTATGCTTTAATTATGTTCCATTTGTAACAATGAAAATACATCCTGCATATCAGATATTTACATTAGGATTCATAACAGTAGCAAAATTAGAGTTATGAAGTAGCAACAAAAATAATTTTATGGTTGGGGGTCACCACAACATGAGGAACTGTATTAAAGGGTCGGGGCATTAGGAAGGTTGAGAACCACTGCTCTAGAGCAAGCATGTCAAACTCGCGGCCTATGAGCCACATGTGGCCCACAGCGAATATTTTTGTGGCCCAGCCAATATAAACATATGTAAGAAACGTTTTAATAAAAATTTTGTAACTTAATTTTTACAATATCCTGTTTTACATAATTATTAATAACGAACTGCAACGTTCACTAATGACTGATTATTTTAATCGTGTTGTTTTCATTTCCCTTACATGCTTTATGCACAGGCACACCATGTATCTCCACCAATACCAGCAGCGAATATTTCAGCAGCCGATTGCCACATCATTAGTCTTGGACTGCTTATTTGGTGTGAACAACAGGAAATATTTCACTTTTGGAGAATTAAAAAAAAGGTTTGTTTGTGTTACGCTTATTAATTTGTGCAGTTATTCAGTGTCTGGTAAGTTACTGTTTGAGAAAAAGTATTAATTTTTATTAAAATGTTCTATTATTTTATGTTAACGATTACCCATTTATTTCAGCCCTTTGTATTCATTATATTTTATGTTAACGATTACTCATTTATTTCAGCCCTTTGTATTCAGCATGTCCCTATCGAAATAAACCTACGTTTCTATGAAATTGAAGTTTTTATTTTTTTGAGGCCACATAAACTTAAACCTTGTTTATTTGGCCCATGTTAGCCTTTGAGTTTGTTCCTCAATACAGTTCCTCAAATTGTGGTGGCACCCAATTTCATTGCTATAAATTGAACATAATTAAAGCATAGTGATTAATCACAAAAACAATATGTAATTACATATGTGTTTTCTGATGATCTTAGGCGACCCCTGTGAAAGGGTCGTTTGACCCCCAAAGGGGTTGTGACCCAGAGGCTGAGAACCGCTGCTCTAGAGTCAAGTGGCCCTGAGGTTTGGTCAAACTAAGTAGGACGCTTCAAGGTTACTGTGGCTGCAGGTCAATGAGTTCTAATGCAATGTGCAATAGTCAAAATTTAAAACAAATGTATTCAGTTGATCACTGTGCAAATTTTCATCAGTGTTAATACTATTTAACTATTATTAATTAACTCAATTAATTTTAGGCATATGTTCATCATAATTCCTGTATCACCAAAGGTTATTTAAATAAATTTATTAAAATTCTTTAATAATCACCACAAAAGCTAGCATTGCAACTGCAAAATATTAATAATTAAGATAATATTGTATACATTTTTCCTGAGTCCCTCAAAGGATTTTTAAATGATAGTCTTTATACATGTGGACAAAATGGATAGAATCCACAAGATTTAAAACAAATTTTACAGTTCAAACAACTATTCTAAGCTTGCTAATGATCATGGACAATGAAAACTAGCTTTTTAAAGTCCTTTACATTACATTTGACCAGCCTTCCTTAAGAAGTACTGAGATTTAAACTATAATAGAAGGTCCATGTAAATTATACTTCATAGGTATATCACACTAGTTTCTTATTTAAAATGCTAAGTTTTATTTTTTAAAAAAGCTTTGGAAGAAATGTTAAGATAAAAAATGCTTTCTTTTTATTAACATCTACTGGACAAGGAAAATCTCTGTTACTAGCCATATAAAGCATGTACAATAAAAGGAAAACTAGTATTTGTTTTAAATAAATTGATCTTTCCTATGAAGTGATATGTAAAATCTTACAAATAAGATTTTAGATATATATCAAACATCACCTACAAAGCGGGTGAAATTTAAAAGTGAAGTGTTATTTAACGCTTTTAAAATGCCAGTTTCAAAACATTACATCTTCCATCGCCACAGAAAGAAAAAAAATGTAAACAGTGCTAATCAAAAAAGTTATACAGTCATGAATTTTTATAAAGAAACAAAAATTGTATGTTATACTATCCCCTTTTTTAATGCACTTGCTGATCATACTGAAAGTCACCTTAGTCATTTAAGGCAATTTAATGTGCCATATAAACTATAGAGAAACCACAAAACAATTATATCTACATAATTATATAGATATAAATTACCAGTTGAAATATGAAACAAGTATAAATTTGAGATTTATTTTGCACAGTTTCATAAATGATCTTCGTTCATTTTTCCCCCATTAAAAAAGGGTAGATAGTAAGGGATTTATGAATAACAGAATGAAAGTAATTCAGTTAAAAGCCATTTAAAAATTACCAGCATGAACTTAAAAACGAAGTCTACATAAAATAAAATAAGGAATTAGATCTCATGCCAGCAGTTCTTGCTCAAGGGATAATACTGATTTTTCAGACACAAAATTAAAACTAAAAGAACAATGCAATTAATTAATCTTGCTTCCCAACTGCACACAGCTTTGTCACAGTGTCTGCAGCTCATTCTATATGTATCAGAGATCATTGAATTCCAAGTCTTAAGAGGAAATGTTTGGATGTAAGCAGAACTGTAAGCCTTTTATTTCAACCAGAGAAAACTCTGTTCTGCATTCTCGCTGCTCTGATACTATTATGAAGCTCCATTTCTAAGCGATGGATACAGATGACTGTACCCAGTCTGGCCCATAACCTTCAGGGGAATGGGAGAGCATATATTTTAAAAATGCATACCTGGTTTCATTTAGAGGAGGAACAAAGAAAATATCTAACTCAGTGAATTGGTCACAGTTATCACTTGTGACTTAATAAGATTGTGTCTTACTCGATACTGTAGTCAATAAGGTTTCTAGTATCTGAAAATGATGCCAATTAAATCTGGCAAACTAATATATATACATTATTTTACGCTTACTTTTGCCCCAATGGCTAACCAGTGAATTTTTGGTATTGTCAAAAAGGGGCCGAGATGGAAAAAGCTTGGGGACCAAAGGCTGCAAAAGCCACCCCTGGCCTATGTTATCTGAATCATTATCTTCTTTTTCCACAAAAGTGTTAGGACAATCCATTTATTTTTATACCTATAATTTTATGTATGACCTACTTTGGTAACTAAATAGTGCCTCTAAATTAGAACTTGACAATAACTAACATTAATAATCATCACTTTATTGGGAGTAAAGACTTGGGAGATGAAAGACTCTGTTGGATAATATTCATACTCCACTCCCCACAGGGACCCTTCTGATACCTAAAGTCTGGGTGCTTTCCTGGGGGAGGGAGCAAAAGAGGGTGAGAAGTGCCCTCCCCCCCGCCTTTGCTCTGCTTCGTTTTAACATAAATACGAACACTGGAGAAATAATGTTGTCAAACAAGCTATAAAGCATCTACAGCCTATTAACAGAACCATAAACATTCAACAACTTAAAAAAATTCAAGCACATGGGGTGGGGGGGTGGTGAAGTGCATACATGCCAAGTGCTAGCCAACACTGATGAAAACGAATGTAAAATGAGTGTGGAACTAGAAGAGATGGAGAAGCCGAGGCATGCAGTTAGCACTTGTTCACCTGACTGCCCGACAGAGTCAGCAGTGGAGAGAGCGCTAGTGGACCTGGAATGCCGTCGAGAGGCTGCAGGTAAAAGGAATGGTGACACCCAAAGGATTAACACAGAGGTACCGAGACAGAATGCCACAGTCCAAGGGAAATGCAGCGACTGCCGCCACGGGCCACGTTTTCTCATGGAAAGAAATGGTGCTACATATGAATGGATAGCAAGGGCCCATCCCTAAATTCCATGGCTGCTGGCTCTCAGGCAGCTCTTAAATACATAGGCACTCAAAGGCCCTCTGTAAGGCATTCCTTATGCATCAACGAATTCAGACTCCAGGTGGATCTTTATTCCATGAAGCCTCTACCAGCCATTATGAAATATGCAACATGAAGAACATCAGGAGTCACCAGCACCGTCTGAATCCGGGTCGAACAGCAGGATGGATTCACTCAGCCCACAAGATGTCTCATCAGTATGTGATGCACATGTAACCATGCACCAAAAACAAAAGAGAATTTATAATGTCATCTGAACACAAACAGAATGAATCACAAGAAGAGGGCTCAACAACTGGACTTCCATCCTCCCCAGTCAAACATTTGTTGTTCTGTTGCATGGCTATCCTAATTAATGAATTTACTTTTTAATTATTGAAAATTTAGTTTTCAGTTTAAATGGCCTCTGGGAGAGGCATTTGCAGGACCACGGTATGAACACTGCCTCTGTAATACAACTGGGGGCAAAATCCTGGTTTGATCTGTAAGACCTCGCACAAAGTACTTAACATCTCTGTGTCTCCGTTTCCTCATCTGTAAAATGGTGCTGATAACGGTACCTACCTCTTGGGAGTTAAGAGAATTAAGAGCTCATACATACAGCACTAAACACAATGCCAGGCACAGAACAAACAGTGGTTAAAAGTCACTGTAGCGGTGCTGGTCGTGGCAGTAATAGTGAAGAGTGAATTCTAATGCACATCTATACATTAAATATTGTTTCATTAGCAAGTATTCATAATACGCATCTTAAGTCATCAATCGGAGGAAATGCATGCTATATTAAGTCCTTGTGGAGATAATGACTTTTACAATTAATTATGAAATACAGACTTGATTCAAACATGAATTTTTTTACCAGAGTGTCATCCAATATGTGGCTTTTCTTTACCTCAGAAAAACCAAACAAGATAATATGCTTCTATCCATTACTCTGAAAAGAACACGATGACTGCACCCCAGAAAGCCCCTCAGTTTAACAGTGATACTGAGCAGAGCTACTTCTCACACACACTGGGGTGCAGTGTCCTGCACACGTCAGCATTCACTGTCATCAAGTATCAAAACATCTCCAGTACAATTTATGCATTAAAGACCATGTCACTTGATGAAACGCACATATTGGTGGTGTGTGTGGTATTAAACAGCAAAGGCTACCTACCTGGCCAATGAGGACACATTTTTATCATCTTACAAAAAGAAAACTTAAGAATGCCTAATTCTTTAAGAAGCACAAAAATAAATCAGCAATCTCTAAAACAGGTATTATAAAATAGTCCCTTTACTCAAATAAGGAAGATGACAAAATGTTTTTTTTAGTCTGAAGCCAAATAATCATTTCATTATACAGGTTGATCAGAATCACTTAATAGTTTAAACTAAAAGTAGCTTTTTAGGAATACATGATCTAAATGTTTCTTATGAAGTGTCGTTTGGTTCTATTTCAATAAAATATTTTATAGTAAATATAGTCACATAATTACCTTCACCCGACACCCTTTTTGGAACGTGAAAATTGACCATGTGAGTTGATACAAAGGGGCACTAACACACAATCTCGCTTATTTATAAAGGGGGTGGGAAATGATTGTTTAAGTGGGTAAGAAAAAGAACCCTTCACATTCCTTGAAGGGCGTAGTAAGTTCCCCTGGGGACAGCAACATCCTGGGACTTATCTACGAATCCCCAGGTCCTAGCCCCAAGCCTGGAAATCTTCAGAGCCCGCTGAGCTCTTCCCTTGCCTAAGCCTGCAGAAGCCTCACAGAGAGCATTTAATACATTTCAGAGAATAAATGAAACATGTGCTGCTTTCAACTGAGGCAGGGTAACAACCACGCTTTGAAATCAGACCTGGATTCAAACCCAGACCACTGCATAGCTGTGAGACTTGAGAAAGTGGCTTATCTTGATTGAGCCTGTTTGCCCTCCATAACAGAGGGGGATACCTATCCCAGGAACCAGGAGGGACTGGCCCAGCATGGTGCCAGCTACCCGTGAGCGCTGCTGTTCCTGTGTAACCAAAGTTTCATAAACAAATTTAACCCATGGAGGGGAGCAACGGGCATGGCATGAAAGTTCATCTGAAAAGATGGTACTACTGCCTGACACCACCGAAGACACATGCCGATGCCGGAGCCCATTCGGAAGGGAAACAGCTGCAGCCACGTCGTCTGCCTCAGTGGGAGCAACATGCATTAAGCCCCCTGGGCTGTCACCAGGCACAGAGCAGATCCCTTTGCCAAAGAAAGTGAAGACAGACTAGCTCACTCAGCTCCTCGGGGTTTGCCTGGGACCTCAAGAGAGCAGCGCAACCTGCCTGGTCCAAAGACCACAAGATGTTACACAGGCTGCGTCCATGGACAAGAACAAAAATGCCAGGATGTGTATGGAATAAAAAGACTGAATTGCCTCTAAGAGACAAAGTGGCCAATAAACAGACTGACTTGTTCACTTATGCAACCGGTTTTCTAGAACAGCGGCCGCCAACCTTTTGGACCTCATGGACCACCAGTGGTCTGCAGACCACCGGTTGGCAACCGTTGTTCTAGAAGGTCAAGTAGTGAGCAGGATATACAGAAATGAATTCTTAACTTAAAAGGAAAAATCACCAGTTCACTCAGAAAAAAACCCCACCACTGCTGCCCTTGACTGGTTGGGAAATCTGATCTGTCCCTCAGGCACCTCACCAGTCGCTTGACTGGTTGGGAAATCTGATCTGTCCCTCAGATTGCTGGGAAGGGCTGATCGCACCAGGCAAACTGCATTCCGCCCAGGCACCTCACCAGTCACGAGGGCCATTCAGCAGGGCGTCTGCATCTGTTACTTGCTCTTCCTCAGAACTTCATAAAGGACAAGAGGTCGTAAAGGAATATATTTGATTATTGATACCGACTGGGGGGAAAAGATATTGGGAAGCAGTGTATGACATTAGAAGGCACTAAAACTACTAAGACCTGATGCTTTTGACATTTTTATATTTAAAAGACCAGTTACTCCGAGTGAAAATAACAGACCCCTGCCGTCCCCAGTTCCATGTAACACTCGGGCCCTTCGTTATAAGCGATTTCTGCCGGCTTATCAAAAGGAAAACATGCAGTTGTACAGCACTTCACATGACAAAGGACTGAGACACAATTACTGAAGAATACAAACATTTCTTTTATGTGCTGACAGACGACTTTGGGGATTAATAATTTGCACTACATAAAAAAGTAATTTATATGTCCATATTACAGAAAGGCAGAACTATTAAAGCTAGAAAGAAAAGGTAAATAAAATATCCTATAATGGATACATTTTCCCCCATGTTTTCCTGAAGCCTAGAAACTGTTCAAATACAAATTCTGGATATGAGAAAAACTGAGGGCGGGATGTGTAACGAAGAGCCCCAGCTGGGCCTGGCTGGTGACCTGGGCATGGTGCTTACCCACCTCATGACCAAATATTGTCATTTTTTGTCCTGGGATGGCATCAGGTCACAGACATTAAACCGCCTCTTGTGCCCAGGAAGCATGAAACTAGCTAATGAACAAGAAACATCAGGAAGTTTTGCACTGAGCTATATACCTGAGCAATTTGTCAAAAAGCTACTTTCAGATTGCTTGGATGAAAGCTTTGAAATGACCCCGTTAACAAAAGCATGGCTAGTATCTTCATTCATGCTGCTTTTTAAATTACTGTCATCATCCCGAAACTGAGCTCATTTACTGTCCTAAACATGATCGTGTTTTTATATTTTTTTCCTTCTTGGAATTAAACCACGTATGGCCCAATCTCTGGCAAAATTAAACACAAATTGTAGAAATTCAATGAGTAAGAATAAACTCTGCATTAGCTCTACTTTCAAGCAGCAATGAACTTGGGCTAAGCTTCATCTTATGTTAGAAATGAACACACGGATGAGCTTGCCCGGCTAAGTGGCCATAAGTAACAGCACAGACTGAAGTGATGCTGTTCCTCTAATACTGAAAAACTGGAAAGGCTCCAAAGGTAAGCATGCAGAGGGGGACAACAAAGGGGGGCTAAGGAAGAGGAAAGGAAGAAGAAAGGGCCACAGGACAGCAGGAGGGAAAGCAGGTCATTCCCTGGCAGTGTCCGGGACAGCATCTGGAGCAGGGGCAGGATGCTCCGAGAGCCAGCGCCTCCGTGTACTCACCCAGTGGAGGGAAGCCCCGAGCAGGGCTTGTATCTCGGCTGCTCTCACGGCTGGTATCGCGGCTGCACCCCTGACTCATGCTGGGTCGAGGGATACGGCTGCTCCGTGCTAGTGTGCAGCATGAGGGGTTTCAGAGAAGGTGAACAAGTTTAATGAAGACAGAAAAACTCACAAAATGTCAGTCACATTCCATTAACGTAATCACGACACTGTCCTGATGACTGAGCATGTGCCCCTGCGACGTCTCCTGACGGCCGTGCCAACAGCAGGAGGTTTGGACAAAAACTCGACTCTGCTCAATGCCTCAGAAAGCTGTGAATTTTGGTGTTAAGGGAAAATAGCACCTCAGTGTAAAAAATGAAAAGAAAGCTTCCAAAGAGCAAACCGGCATCAGAAAATAAAAGCTCCGTCTTTTAGAAATGATCATTTTTATGGCTTTGGCAAACTTCTTTCTCCACTGGAGGGTACAGGACCAAAGCCATTTCCATGTGCACTGGGTTCTCAATTTAGGTGACAAAACAGAACAAGGGTCCTGGGCACTGCCATCCGTGAACTTAACTAACTGAGAGCCCACCTCTCCCAGCCGGGCCTTCTTTACAAAGAGAAGCCCCTGGCCTGACCGCTAGAGAGCCTGTGCACTCGAGTGAGTGTGGAGACGTTCAAACACACTTCACTATCGAAACCAACAGAGAGAAAGAGCCAGGACTGCTGTCCCTTTTCACTGGCCCCGACCTTAATTCCTGCTTTTTCTGTGGGAATCAAAACCCGGCCTGCGGTCCTTACTCAAGCACCTTCACCTCTCCAGCCTTACGCAGTCTGAGAGTGATGGACTGATAACCCGTCTCTGCACCATGAGATCCCTCCACTGACCTGAAAACGGCCAATTACTTTATGATTATCTACAGATAATGTTATTATACTCACATTATAAAACACTGAAAACACAATCACATAAACAGCGTAAGGTTTCTAATATAACTGGGCTATAAAATCACAGAAAAGATCATTATGCTCTTATTTTTCATTTTATTTTGAGAAAACAGAAATACAGTACTGGAAAAAGTATTTGGAAACACCCTGACATATTGCAGGTGTATAACCACCAATGTCACAGTAGATGGGGACAACAAAGATCTCCATCTTGAGAGGGTCTATTCTTCTGGACTGGGTAGAAATGCCTTCTTTAGAAATTTTGAAAAAAATAAACTTGATCCACTGATATAAAAACATGGCTATTTTCAGATCAATGCATCAATGAGCATAACCTATTTATTTTAAAGCAAAGGTATGTTTACTGGATGGCCAAACCGCAACAAGAATACCTTACAAACCAGAACTGTGAAGCCCTCGGTAAAGACTACAAAGGTAGAAAAGCAACCAACTTCCGACTGTGGTCTTCCTCGGGGCTAGAGTTCCATTAGACCCGAACGCTGAGCGAGTGGTGTCCAACAGCTCAGGGCTGCAGCGGTGAGCACAGGAATGCAATCTAAGCAACAGTCAAAAAAAGAGCTGCATCTGGAAGTCTCTAGTAATTCCTAAATTCTCCTTCATCTTGCCAGTGACATGGCGCACTGAGTTTCCACTCTAAGTAGCAGTATGTAATCAGCAATGTTTGAAAACATTCTGAATAGCTCCTACAATGAGGGCAAAACCAGCAGGTGCTAAACTCTTAAAAAACAACAACTAGGGAGTATCCGCTGACACAAGTTGTATGGAACCTACAAAGAAGCACTGCTTACGCTCAGAGGTCGACACCGCATCCATTCATGCAGCGACCTCACAGTGCCCCGCTCACTCACTGGCCCGGCCACTGCGGTCCCCTGAGGAAGGCTAGGGAGAAAGTCGGCATTTAAAGAGCACGGTACTGTGAGGTGAGGCACACATGGTAATACTTCTGGCTCCCTGAGGAAAGGCACACATGAACATCTTGTCTGCTGCACTGCCTACTCCAAAACTCATAGTCAAAAGTAATAAAAACAGTCCCGATAGTTTTTAACATATGTCATGCTTAGCTCAGCATTTTCTTAAGAGTTCTTGCCCAATTACTTCTGAAGTTCTACCCAGCTCTCACTCCCTCCCTTAAACTAACATACATGCTGCAGCAATGGGAAATCTGCTTTCCCTGCTTCGTGAAGACAATAAGGGGATAGATATGATCTGGAACAATATGCACAATTCTTAGTAAGGTTTAGCCTCCTAGTACTTCACCAAGAGAAAGTTCCTTCACGCATCCATATTGCCTGGCTCCTTTAACATGTGGCTAGTAGTAACACAGAAGAATCCCGTTTACGATTTTGTAAAAATCTTCCCATATGGTGGAAGATTAAAGCACCTTTAGTGGTGACATCAACAGTTTAAATGTTGGATAATTTAAAACAC